CTGATACACATTGATGCCATCATTTTATGAAGAAAATTTGGCTCAATTAACTTTTTAAAAATAAATAAATCATTTCACACGTGGTAAAATCAAGACAGCTATAATCACATAAATTAATAAAAAAAGAGAACAAGATGCATTGTGTATGTACATATCAGTCTGAATCAATAACTGTAGGAGAAAGGAAAATATACAATTATACATCAGTAACAAACAAATTTACCTTCAGATTGTAAGTATGTCGATATGAGAGTGGGTAGGTTAGGGCTACGCTCTGCCATTGCTTTTAATACTATGCGTATTTAATGAAAATATGATGTAGAATTATTTATACATATATAATTACTTGTTATCCATTGTTTTAAGAGAGGTACAGAGTAAGAAATATCTGATCCCTCAGTGTGTCTGTATGGTATAACAACCTGTAGATACTAACAAGAGATGAAGAAAATAAAATAAAGATTATAGTATAGATACATACTGCTTTTATTCTTCTCATCAACAACAGAAGGTCTCCTTCCTTTTGACCAAACAAGTGCAAGACTCTTTGAGAGATTCTGTGACAGTATCTGTGACCTAAGCCCCGTTTACACTATGCCCTTAAAGCGGTCACCTCAGGAGGTGGTTTGAGATAATCAAACCGGTTTAAGTACTGGAGCAGCTGTATTATGTATGCAATCAGGGATATAATAGACTAACGTAACCGGGATTGGTTACGGACCGGAAATCAATTATCAGACTCTGTTATTATTCATTAAATTAATGGCAGCAATCAATGGCATCTTAGCAAAATGGCTGAATGTAAATTGTTATAACTAAAAAACCAGCAACAGGAAAAATTCAAAAACAACTTTAAACAATGTAAAAACATGTAAAGGGCCTCTTTATTGTAGTTTCATAGCAATAGAATGTAGTCTATTCTCCTGAGAGGTACGCAAAAGTCGTACCATGGCAAACTGGTTATTCTTGAATATTTCCTGAAGAACACTCTGGAGAAACAAGAAAAGCTGCATAAACAATGTAATAAAGTAAGTAGCAACATTTCATGACAAAAACACATTCATAGAAACAAATATTTGGGCTACAGAGGTACGCAAATGGAATTTTAGCCGTAAATTGAAGATTTAAACAATTTAAAACAAATATTAACTTACAATAACCTATCAGAACCTTGAAGCCGCCATTATAACTTTGCAGTAGATTTTTTCATAAAGCTAAATACATTTTTAAAAGAGAAAAGAGCAACTTCATACTCCAGACATTGACAGTCGCCATCTTGAAAATCATAACAGAGACTGCAAAAAGTTTTTATACACAAATGATGCGCTCACGTGATCCCGTTGCCAATCCCGGTTACGTTAGGTAGGGTCTCAAAAGCGGACGGACGGACGGACCCGCTCCGCCCGAAAAGGACGGACGGACGGACTGATGCTGGCCCACAGGACCATAGATATCCATGTAAAGCTAGGACAATCATTCTTGAATAGCCTGTCTTTAAAACACTTCTATACTTGGAAAATAAATTTATGTACGTATTAACTATGCTAGGACCAATAGAAGAGGTCATGTTAGTGAAAATTTTACTTTATCAATGCAAAATTGCTACTACAGGCTGCATGAAGCATCACAATACGAGCCATCACTTGAATTCTATTTGTTATTCTTAACAGGAGTTCAGTGACACCATTTTAATGATTTTTCAATATTATTTGGTGCAAGTCTATATCTTCAATCCGGCAATATATTCAAAGAGGAATTACCATTTACAGTGAATATAAGCAGGAATACAATGTAGACTCTATTATTGAATAAAAACTGCAATTTTTTAGAGTAATAATTATGTTTTGTGTATTACCAACAGCAATCTTTAGTAAATTGGTTGCAAATCAACCTGATGAGACTGTTGACTGATACTTTTATGTAAGTTATTTCATTACAGCTGTATGTATAATATCTATGTTTTAACACTATAAAATTAGGATTATATATGATGTAAGTGAAGTTCAATCCATTGTAATGCCTTGTCATGTCAGAAGCCATTAGATTTTAATTGTAAGTTCTTTTTCAAATTCAAATGTCTACAATATATTAATAGCGGATTTGTATAGGTTATTAAGCCTCATAAATCAATTTTTTTAATTTTGATTTTATTGAAAAATATTTTACTG